ACTAGTTAAATATGTCTCCCTCCCTCCGTCTCGTCGGCGGCCAGACAGCTGCCCTCCGGCACCGCAGCCTCCTCCTCAGCCAAAGGCCCAGGCCCGGTTTCGTAGCCGGACGGCGACTGTGAGAGCGGGCCTCAGGGGGACTTGCTCCAGCACGTTGTGCTGAAGTGTGGAAAGGGAGTCTCCATCTTCTGTGCCAGCCTTCGTTTTCAAAACGCTCCCCTCTGAATGTGCTTGGAAGGGGGGCGAAAGCAGGACGAGATTCGCCTCTCGCAGTCTGTCCCTTCCCCTGACTTCTGAATTTAGCCCAGGCCACAGGTAAATTACTCTTAATAGGCCGTGGTGGACGAGGTGATAAAGCCAAGTGAGGAATAAAGCATTTGCCTCGCAGCCGGGCAGCGTTATCTGTCCTTCCGCGTACTGCCACCTGCGGTGACAGCTGCTGGTCCTGGCCTTTCGCAACTTTCTAAACACTTTCTCTTGACTAAGAGGAAGTGGGTTGAAATTGTTCGGAGAGAGAAAAGGTGTTAAGTTGCTCTTGTGTACTACTACGGTTTGATTTTGTTGTCTAAATGTTGCATGCTTTTCCATCTCGCCTTTCCCATCTTTTTCTCTATCACATTCGTGTTCTTTCTGTGCACCAACGCTGACCGAAGAACCAGGGGCCCTACAGCAAATTTAAACACAGTTGTCCAAATTAATTTTTAATATTTAAGGTTCCTGTGTACTATTAAGCATCTCAACCAGACCACAAGTTCTGTGCAATACAGATGTTAACACAGCTTCATACTGAACGAACTAGTAATCTACATTGTAAACATGGAGTGTTTCCCAATTTTAACACAGCAAGTAGCACAGCTGACAAAACCCAGAAACCCCTCCCTCTCCCTGCCAGACTAAACCAAAATACATTATTTTCCCATGTAACCCTAACTCATTTAAAAAGTGAAGTTTCTCATATAGCCAAGTTGAGGTGAATTGTCAAAGTGCTTGGGAAATAACCCTCACCACCTTAATTAAATGCAGTTATGTTAGGTGCTGGTGCTCATTATGTAGGTATAGCTCTAATTACACTGGCATGTGTTTAGTTCAAGACCTGGGTGAAATCAACACGGGTAAATCATTTGGGAAACATAGTAAGTTTGAGGATGATTAGGAAGGACAATGAAGAATGAAAGAAATGAAGGAAAGAAGGAAGGTAGACAGACAGATGGACAAGTGTGTAGAAAAAAACATGATCTTAAGCCAGCGAATAACTCCTAATAGAAAAACTAGCTTGGAAAACTGACAGTAAAAGTAACATAACAAAGCTTCTTCCTTTATAATATTGTAGTTCTTCCTTCACCAGCTACAGTCTATTTATTTATTTATTTATTTTAATAATTGGATTTTCACCACAAATGCTTGAAGACCACAGTGCCAGGGTTTTTTTTGTGTGTGTTTTTTGTTTGGTTGGTTTTTGTTGTTGTTGGTTTTGTGTGTGTTTGTGGCCAGAGGTTTTTCAAGACAGATCAGAACTTAAGGTACAATTACAAGATGTCACTGGCTTCATGTAATGCTGCCAGTCCCATGTAAATTTTAGGGTCACCAACAGCATTACATAGGCATAGCCAGTTAGA